CCAAAGTACGGGGATTACAGACGTGTGCCACTGTGTCTGGCTCCCACTTCTTTCATAAAGACCCTCCGTGTACTAAGACATCCCTCAGAGGCTGGGGTCCAAGAACAAGATTTATTGGGTACCCAGGTGGAGTTGGGTCCTTTAAGATTCCGTGCTCAGCTCACCGCACCCTCCCTCCGACTCAGGCCTAGAGAAAAGCTAAATCCCAGCCCAATCCTGCTCTCAGGGTCCCGGGTGGGTGGAGCCACAAGGCCAGGATTCCGGCCTCCGGCAGCCTGTTTTTAAATTTAGCACCTTCCTCAGTCTTGGCTGACGGCGGAGGGGGAGGTAAGTCTGGGGCTCCAGCCGGCGACCTCAGGACTGCCGGTTTCAGAGTTCTCTGGCTTCCCCACAGGTCTCCCCCGCAGGTGTCAACCTGGGGGACGCAGCTTTGGCCCTGGGAAAAGTCCTTTCTGGTGCGGTCCTCCAGCCTGGCCTGGGCTCGGTTTACTTCCTCGCCCCTTTTCCTGGCATTTGCTATATAAGGCTCCTAAACGGGAATGGGTGAAGAAGGCGAGGTCGGAGCTGCTAGGCAGAGGGGAAGCCAGAGGAGCAGCGTGGGGGTGGCGAGGGGTGAGGAGCCCAGCCGGCTCGGCTCAGCCAGTGGTGAGGCCGGGAGCCCAAAATAGAGGCAGAGGCTAAAATTGGCACCTACCAGAAGAGTGCTGATTTGGGCTCCAAACCTGCAGCCCACCCCGCTGCTCACTGGGGCAGGGAGCGGGGACCTAGGGTACCGTCACCCTCTCTCAGAATCAGGCTGCACCGTGCAGATAGAGCAGTTTTGTCCTGGCCCTCAGAGAAATCAGAGACCCCGAGAAGCGGAAATGAAAAGTGCCGTGAGTGACTGCAGTTAGAACGGAGCAGCAACTTTCCCAGCAGCGGCGTCGCCAGCCGCGAGGTTGGCTCCGGTGCGAAGGGTCCGAGCCGCACCTGGGCGGGGCTCTGGTGGAGGCCTGAGGGCAGACTGTTTTCCAGTCCCTGGTTCCAGCTCGGAGTCGGAACCGCGAGAACGGGTCTTGAATACCTGAAAGGACAGCCTTCCCCGGCTTCCTAGCGCGCAGCAAAGGTGGCGAGTCCGCCCCCCCTGTAGCTGGCGGGGCGGAGCTAGGAGGAGGATGGGCCGAGCGCGGCCGGAAGGGACGGCTGGGCGGGCGGCGGGGTAATTGTCTCCTCTCCTTCCCGGGCTCCTGGGAGCCGGTCCTCGCGTCAGACCCACGGAAGCCCCCGCTTTCAGTCGCTCTGTGATCGCCCCTCTCTCGCCTCCCCTCCCCCAGTCGTAAAGGGTTCTACCGTCACGGCCCACTTTGAGGGCCCTGAAGGCCAGGAGGGAACGCCCCGGCTCCCCGCGCCCCGGCTGGGCGGACTGGACCCTGAGACCCGTACCGCGGGCCTGAGACCGAAGTTGCACGGTGGGGGAAGGGACAGAGGAAGGGCCTAGGGTCCGGCGAGGCCCCGACTGGGCACCAGTGTTTGGAAAAGAGCGAGGAGGCGGGTTGGTGGGGCCGGAGGGGAAAAGGCAGAGGGGCGGTCCAGGCGGCCGGTCCTTCTCCGAGCTGCCCCGGCGCAGACCCTGGCGTCCCGAGCGCGCCGGCACCCGCCCGCCCTCCGGAGCGCTCCGCCTCCCCCTTCCTGAGCCCGGCGGGCGGGGGAGGAGACTCGGGTTTGAGGAACTGGCGCTGGGTGCCGGCGAGGGGAGTCAGACTTCCTGTCCCCGACACCGACGCGTGCGACCGGACCCCTCCCCTCCCCCGCCACGCGGGACCCCCGGGTCCACGCCGCGCGCTCCGGCTCCCCGCCTCGGATTATGTCTCGGATCGAGTCCCTCACGCGGGCGCGGATCGACCGGAGCAAAGAGCTGGCGAGCAAGGTGGGCTCCCGGGCCCCGCCCCGCGCGCCCCGGCCCCGCTCCCGCTGCGCCCCGGCCCCCGCCCGCCGCCTGCGCGGAGCTCGCCAAGCTGGGAGCGGGTGGGGGTGGGGACCGCGCCATCCGCGCCGAGCCCCCGGAGAGGCGCACCGGGCTCCGGGCGCCGCGGATCCTGCGGGCCGGGTGTTTGGGTCGGCTCGGAAGAAAGTTGCTCGGGTAAGGGACTGAGCGCCGAGAGGCAGGCGCGCGCCCTGCGCCCCGGTCCCGCGTGCGGGGTTGCTCGCGGGCGCTCCCCCGCCCCGACTCTGGCGCGGTCGGTCCCCCTTTGTCCCCGCCATCCGGGCGGAGGGGCGGGAGGGGATGGTTTCCAGCTTCCTCCCACCACCACCACCGCCACCTCCAAGACAAAAGTCGGCCCCTCCTCCCGAGCCGATGGACTTTCCAGCTGTGAGTCAGTTCTCCCCGCGGGTGGGCGGGTGGCGGGGGTCTGGACGGCACAAGCTCACTTCCCCCCGGCGTCACCCTCAGGTGCAGGCAGCAGAGGTCTTTGTGTGACTGGGCTCGGCCCTGCCCCGAGCCCTCTGGTGCCTGCACGCAGGGACATGGACCCCACCCGCGGCGGGTTCTCGGCTTCCCAGCTCTGAAATACTCCGCCGACGGGGCGCTGAGTGCCTGCCCTGCACCTCCTTCAGCTCCCGTGTCTCCTCTGCTCTTGTTGGGGACCCTCACCTGTCATTCATTCCCAGCCCACACACACCGCTCTGGCCCACTCATTTCCACGGTCCTTCCTCCCTGCCTTTGTGCCAGGCCCACTCCCCACTGTCGGGGCCTCCCCAGCCCCAGGAAGTGCTGACTTGTGAGCGAGCGCGCAGGGAGGTGGCGCGGCTCACTGCCCCTCTCTGGGGCTCCAGACCCCTTCTCAGAAAGGCTACTTCAGTCTTCGGCGCCGGCTTCCCTCCCAGCCCAGTAACCTCCCCGTGCCCGGTCTAGCGGAGCACAAGAGAGCGGGACCCCTTCGGAACCCTCCGGAGACGGGGACCTTCCACCCCCCTCCACCTAGCTCCTCGCGGGGTGTCTGACTTGATGCTAAACTGGGAGTGGGTCCATCAAGGGTAAGGGAGGGCAGGGAAGGCGGAGGCAGGAATTTGCTTAGCGGGTCAAGGTTCTGCTAACCGGAAAGCAACCAGGAATTTGAGGAGTTCCAAAGACAGAGGCCGGGGTCAGATGCTGAAGCGTGGTGGGACAGCGGGGTGGCAGACAGGCTCTTTGCAGGCCGCCCGGGCCAGGCTCCAATCTGTTTATTTTTTCAACGGTTTGAGCTGAGACCCTGGAGTAGAGCCAAGGGGGCGGGAGAAGCTTTTTGAAACCACGGAAATTTGGTTCCACCCTAAAAAGGAAAGCCACGGGGGAGCTGGGGGTCAGATACCTGGTGAGGGGTGTAGGGAGAGGTTCTGGGAAGGTAAATGCTGGGGTCTTGTTCTTCATTAAGGGGGTCGCTGGGAGGCCAGATACCTGGGTCCTCTGCCCGGATCCCCCACCCCATAGTGGGGGCTCTGGGGATCCCAAGCCTGGCTCTTTCCACTCCGGGCTGGCCTTGGAGGGGGATTTGGGGTGAGGAGTTGGGGACCGAGTGGGTGGGTCTGGGAGGCCAGGAGGCCACAGGCAGGGGATTCGTTGGCTTGGGCTAGTCGGAAGGGGAGGGCCATCTCCGGAAAGCTGTGGTTACGGAGGGGGGAGTTGGTTCTTAGCCAACAAACCCTGGATCTCTTCTTCCCCCTCCCCCACGCACGCCAGCTGTCTCAGTTCTTTTTATGCTGTGGTGGGAAGTAGAGGGGGCTCGCTGGAAGTGAGATTATTTGAGGAAGACGGGCCCCCCCGCTACCAGTCTAGAGGATGGATCAGGGATGGGTCCTGGTGTTCTCAGACCTCTCACTGAGGGAGCAGTGAAGTCTACCCTGCCCCTTCCTCCTCTCCACCCTCACGGGCGCTTTCTGCCTAGACCCCGCCCCGTGCTCCCTTTTCCTTTTACTCCGTTCCTTTTCTTCCCCTCGCTGTCTTCAGCCCTCCACCCCTCCATTCTCTCTGCTCTGCTTCCTACCTCCTCAAGCCCTCAAGCCCACAGCGCACAGGTCCCGTCCTCTTTACCCCCTGCTCTCCCTCCCTCCTTACCAAGCCCTAACCTTCATGTCCCTCAGAACAAAGGGTCCTCTTCTGCCATGCAGTTGCCAGAGGTCCCGGGATGGCTCTGGAGGTGGGGGTCTCCCTGGTATCCCCAGGAGCCCAGCACGGGGTGTGTGGTGGGCAGGTGGAGGCGAGCAAGTGAGTGAGCGAGAGGAAGACTCTTTGTTCCGGACTGGCAAACTGGCGAGGTGGCTGGTTTTGTGTACAGGACCAGGGCAGTGCCAGAAGGGCTGGGTGAGCCCAGGAGGGAGCTGAGAGCTGGCAGGCTTGGAGGAGAGTTGAGGCTTTTAGGGACTAGGAAAAGGTTTTAGGGGTCATGGAGGTTAGACAAAAGCCTAGGGAAGTCACTGCGGGAGGGCACGAGGGGCACTGGTGCCTAGGGAAGGACCTGCTGGGGCCACCAGAGGAGTCAGGACCAGATCTCAGTCCCGCTGGCTCTGGGGCCGAGTCCTCGGGACCAGGGAGGAAACAGATCTGAATTGTTACGTGTGTGTATGTTTGTCTATCTCCAGATGCCCCGGGTTACTGGTTGGAGCTGTGACTTGTGCCCTTTGGACATGGGAAGTAGTTCCATTCTTAGCTTCAGCCTGTGGTTTGACGTGTCTGGCAGGAGCTGAGTGAGTGGCTTGGCCAGGCTTTGGGGACTGGGAAGAGGATGGCCGAGGGGAGCTGTGTGGACCCTTCTGGGTTTGTGTGTGTCTCCTGGGGGAGGGTGGGGGCGGGGCTGCAGCAGCAGCAGCTGCCCCCCTCCTAACCCAGCCAGCCGGCCCTGTGCCAGGAGGGCAGGGAGTCCTGGCACAGCTATTGTTCACTTGCACAAATGCCCTTCTGTTTGGATGTGTGCGCGCACACACACACACACACACACACACACACACTCCTTCTCTCTCCTGGCCCGACAGGTGTGGCCCGGTGGGAGGCAGGCTGGGGTCCAGGGTGCTGAGGCTCAGGGTCTGTGGCCTGATTTTCTTCCCTGGCCCTCAGCACCCCTCTCCCGCTGCACCTGTGTGTGCCCCATTGTGCGAGTCTCATTCATTAAGCAAGTGTTGTTCAGTGCCTTTGTGTGTGCAGTGGTCTTCCTGTGTTGCTGCTGGCGATGTTAGTGTTTCCATCCATCCGGCACCTTCTCCCAGTCTCCTGTCCTCATCTGAGGGAGCCAGGCTGGCTGAGACCGTCCCAGGTCCCCCAGTCCCACGTCAGGAACCCTCTCCCTCATGTTGTCCAACCCTGGAGCTCATCCCCTGCGACTCCATGCCCTTCACAGCCAGGGCCTGTGCTCCGGCTGAGCCACAGGTGACCTGAATCCCCCTCCAGGCGCCCTCTGGTCCCCACACAGCGTCTGGACAGAGGCCTCGCCATCCTGGGGAGGGACTCCTGCGGGTGCTCTGCAGCCCAGGCAACCCTGAGCACCGTGTAACTTCCTGGATGGAGTTGGCAAGAGGGTGGGCCTGGCTCCAGAGGTCGGGGTTGTGAGGCTGGGGTCTCTTTAGCTCTGACTCAGACCCTGCAGTGCACCGGGGGCACAGGAAGGCAGAGTCCAGGCTGAGTCACTGCCTTGTCCTTCACAGCACAACTGTTTCCATCTCAGCCTGGGAAGCCAGGTGCAGTGAGGAGGGGAGACCATGTCCCCCTATTGCCTTCGAACGTCCCACCTTCAGCCCTAACGCCCCCTGCCCCTGGCCCGTCTTTCTTTTCCAAGAGTGACCAGGAACTGGGATGATGGTGGAAGGGAGGTTTTTGTCGGTCTTTTCTGACCTTCAGAGGAAAGCCCTGAGGTCTAAGCTCAAAAGAAGTAGGCAGGAGGGGCCGGGAGCCTTGGGAGCAGGGAGAGGAGAGGAGAGAGGAGGCTGGAGCCTCTCATAAGAAATGAAGGGGTCCCCAGAGCAGGGTGCTACCGAGAGTGCATCTTGGTGTCCCCCTGCTCCTTTCTCATCCCTGCGTCCTGCACTTCCAAACACATATGGGAATATATGTTGCCCCTGAAGATTGGGGGCCACTCACCTGCGCACCTGATTTATGCACTTGGCCCTCCATGTAGCCATGCACAGAGGAACGCCGTGAATAAGGGGCCTTCTGATAAGGTCCTTGAGGAACAGACAGAAGGACCACAGATGCTGGACAGCAGAGGCCTGGGCCGAGCAGGAAGGGCCTGCAGGCTCTGGGATTGAGTGCAGGCTGCCCGCCTGGGGGCCAGTGAATGGAAACCAGTGTGATTTTCTTAAAAATACCTGCAATGGGGCAAAGAATCAAACCAGCGTGCTCACTCCATCCCGTGCCCTTCCACCCTCAGCAGCCTGAGCCCCGGGGCGGGCACAGGGCACCTCAGGGACAATAGTGCTAGGCAGTACCAGGGCTGCTTGCTGCTGGGCAGTGCCCACGCTGGGATGTGCTGCTGCTGTAGCTGCTGCCCACTGCTGGCCCACCTTGAGAGGGGGCCACTTCAAGAGAAGGTAAGCACTGGGCGGTGGAGGAGGCAGGGCCCAGACTACCTGAGCTGCCTGTGGGGCATCAATGTCAGGAAGGGGAAGGGCCACTGGAGACCCGGGCGCTGTCTGCCCCAGCCCTTGGTCCCTCTGGCACTGCCTGAGTACGAAGTGGTAGAGCCCTGTGGAGCCAGAGGCTTGGGCCCTGGCACAGTATCGGCAGCATTAGGGCAGAGCTGCAGCACTTCGGTGACCTGGCCAGGCCTGTTCCTTGTAACGCTGTGTTTACATTTGTTTACTTTTTTTTTTTTGGTACCGGGGATTGAACTCAGGACCTTGCACTTGTGCAGCAGGCATCGAAACCACTGAGCTAAATCCCCGGCCCTGTTAACTTTTAATTGAAGGTAGTAAGTGTTCAGACTTTAAGCTTGTCACGGAGCAGGCTGAGAGTGCAGGAGAGAGGGAAGGAAGGGAGCAGAAGGCAGGGGGAAGAAGATGGGCTTTGAAGTCCTACAGGGTGGTGATGCACAGGTGACTCTGTTCTAATACAATGAATCCATTGAAGAGCCAGGCCTTTGGAGACGTGGATGGAGAGAGGACCCACAGGAGACTGCTAGCCATTCAAGCAGGTGGGCTCAGCACAGAAGAGGGGGCTGCAGCTCGAAGCTCGCAGCAGGGCCCAGAGGAGGAGAGGAAGGGTGCAGAGAGAAGCAGAAGCCAGGCCGGCAGGGAAAAGGAAGAAGGAGGTGGAGGCGCAGAGGAGGGAGAGCCTGAGCTGAGGGCGGGGGGGAGAGGGGGAGAGAGTGCGTCCCGTCCTGCTGCCCTTGGAGTGGGGAGGGCCAGGTGAGGGAATGACCTGCCGCCAGGCAGCTCCCTCCGAGCTGAGGAAACGGTGGGAGAGGAGGCTCTAGGCCACCAGGCCGTCTGCCCACTGCCCCAGGCCTCACGCTTCCCTTTCTGCAGTCCGTGTCCCGTCCCCCACTCTGGTCTCTGCCCTCGGGGCTGAGGGCTCCCACTGAGCTGGAATTCTGTGTCCCAGCCTCCTGCCAGGGTCCGCTTGCTTGGGGTTCATCCACTCAGCCTCTCGGCATTTTGTTGGTGTGGGGGATCGATCGATCGGGGCGTTGAACTGCCTGTGAGGCAGGCCTGATGCCACTGAGCTAAATCCCGGACCCCTTTTAACGTTTCTTTGTAAAAATTCTTTTCTTGCCCTGCCCTGCCCTGCCCTGCTGGTTCCTTCCCTCTCTTGCACAGTGCTGGGGATGGAACCCAGGGCCTCACATGGGCTAGGCAAGCACTCTACCACTGGGCTACATCCCTGGCCCTTTTTATTTTCCTTTTGAGACAGGGTGGCTCAGCCTGGACTCAGCCTTGTGGCCCCTCCTGCCTTAACTTCCTGATAGCTGGGATCCCAGGCCTGGCTACCACTCCTCACTGCTCTTTGGTTTCTGGGAGGCTGGGAACCCTCAAAGGAGTGGTCAGCTGCTGGTAGTGGTGGTTCTCCAAGGACGGAGGGAAAGAGCAGAGACCAGAGGTGACCCCGGGGAGGGTTGAGGGTTCCGGAATAGGTGGAAGGAATGATGTTCTGTCTCCTCACCCGGTCGGGCTTTTGGGGGCGCTCAAGGCCTTGAGGAGGGACAGAAAGGCCTGCCTCAGAGGTGGGGGGGGACACGGTGCCCCATTTCAGTGGAAACCAGAGCTGGAGGAGGCAGGCAGTGTCAGAAAGGACTTCCTGGCTGGGATGGGGTGACACACAGAGGAACCGTCCACAGAGCTCCCTAGGTTTTGTCTTTGAGCTGTAGTTTGAAAGGCATAAAAATTAAGCCTGCAGGGGAAGTTTCCTGCCCAGACAACCGAGCTGACTGAGTTTCCTTCCTTAAAAGTCCCGGAGGGCAAGAGTGACCACCTGGGGCCCGTGGGGGACAAGCGGCTCCCCGCGAGGAGCCCAGTGGGCCTTGGCTGAGTGGAGTGAAGAGTCAAAGGTTGGGGATCCTGACCTCTGGCTTGGGAGTGACCAGGGAAGTGTTGTGTCCTCCAGGCAGCCTGACTGGGGCACCCCCCACCCCCCACCCTGACTGCTGGGAGACAGCAGCTCCCAGCCGGTTGTCATGGTTATGAGAAGAGCTAACTCCCATAGATTGGAAAGCGCTGGTGAGCTGGCACCCTCTGCTGTGCCTGCTCGCCCCTCCTCTGCGCATCTTCCCCCGGCACCCGGCACGGCAAGGAGGAGCACATACAGCAGCTCGGGGGCGACAGAGCTGGGGCTGGGAGGTGGAGTGAGGACGCAGAGATCCGGAGCTGGGGACATGAGTGGAAACAGGAGGCAGCCCAGCCGCAGGGGCCAGGTAGGTCTGGGCCCAGACGCCCGCCCTTGGCGACTCTGTGTCCCAGGGCCCAGCTGCTCCCGGACAGCTGCCTCTGGCTCCTGTGGCTGGCCGTGCTTAGGGATGGGTCTCCAGCCTCCCAGGCAGGCGCTCCTCCCTGGCCCCTGGCCTCGGCCTCTCTGTCCAGATGCCAGGGATCGTCCACTCTCACTTCCTGTCTCTCTTGTCCCTTCCGCAGGCCCGGGAGAAGGACAGGATGAAGGAAGCCAAGGATGCCCGGTATACCAACGGGCACCTCTTCACCACCATCTCAGTGTCGGGCATGACCATGTGCTATGCCTGTAACAAGAGCATCACGGCCAAGGAAGCCCTCATCTGTCCAAGTAAGTTGTTTGGCCCCTGTCACTCAGATGTGTTGCCCACCCACCTAATTTGCCATCCGACCTTTCTGCCGGGGATCTGTAAGGGAGCTCTCCACGGAGCCCCAGCTGGGGCGAGTGCTGGGGCCGGGATTTGGTCTCTTGCCTTCCTTCCTTGCACAGGGTGGTGGCTGCTGGAACGTGGCATGGGCAGGTCTGTCGGGATGATGGCCCCTGTGCAGCTGTCACCCTGTGGGCATTCCCCTCGCTCCCTGAACAGCTGCTGAGGCTGGGGAGAGCTGACTGAAGAGCAGGAATGTGCACGAGGGGTGACAGGACTGCAGGGAGCTGCCAGCCTCGCAGCTGGCCCTGCCCATCTTCCTGGGCAGAACTGGCCTTTGGGACTTAGGAGTCCCTTGTCCTTTCCTATTGCCTGGGTGGAGTCGGGAATCTACTTTGTCAAGGAGACGATGGGGTCGGGAGTCTCCTCCCGAATTCCCAGCCTGACAAGACAGTGAGAAGGGAGTACAGCATGAACGGGTGTGCATTGTGAGGCAGGGGCTAGGACTCCAGGCCTGCATTTCTGGAGCATGAGCAGGGGGTTCCCTCCCTCCCCAGGATGCTTATGCAGGGGGCTTCAGCGCTGCCCTTCCCGGGGTTCCTCCTGAATTGAGACCAAAGAGTCGCCTCTGATTAGAGCAGGATGGAAGATACTGTGACTGGCCACTAGTCAGCAGGAGGAGAGCTCCAGCCTCAAGTCCCTGCGGCACTGGGAGAAAAAACCCACATAAAGAACCAGGGAGGCCTCCCTCCCTCCGACCTCTCTGCTCTATTTAAAGTTAGGAGCATGAGGAGGGAACCCCAATCTAGATCCCTCTAGAGACCTGACAACATCCCCAATCCGGAAGCTTGTTGCCAGGGGAACTAGGGAGGCAGCAGGGCTATTTTGAGAGCAGGTGGAGAGCGGAGGTTCGATCCAGAGATGCTAGGTGTTGGGGGTAGGAGATGGGAGCTCCAGGGAGGCGGGGTGCGTGCAGCCCCCACTCTGTCTGCCCCTCTGCCCCACCCTGTTGGCCTTGTATTTGTGGAAGTGAGCGTGGTGCTGGGTATTGTCTGAAGGAGTTAGCAGTTTCCAGTGTGGGACGCAGAGGGGAAGCCGGGAGGGCCAAGGGCTGAGAGCCTGCTGGGGAAGGGATGACAGTGGTATTGGGCCTGGGCTTGGCTGCAACTCCTTTCTCCTCTTTTTCTCTCCTACCCCATGGCAAGAGGGGGCAAAGGATGGGGGAGAAGCAGATGGAGAGTGGGAGCTGTGGGTTTGCTTTACACAGGGAACAGGGCTCCCCCAGCCTGGCAGGGAGGAGGCAGCCTGCCTGGAGTTGGTGCAGAGGGCTGGCAGGCTTGACAGGGAAGAACAGGGCAGGCAAGGCCAGTCCTGGCCCCCCACAGATCTGTCAGCCTTGGAGCTGCTTAGGCCTGGGCAGAGGTCGTGGGCAGACATGCAGGGGACAACAGAAGGCGTTCGGCCTGTAGACCCTGCAAGCCAGATTTAAGCCCCAGCTACACACCAGCTGCATGAGCGAGGCAGGTGACTTTGCTGCCTGTGAAATGCAGATAGCTGGTCAGCCTGAGGGGCTGTGGGGATGCAGCGGACCAGAGCTCGGGGACACTGACTTCTGCCCAGCCTCCAGCTGCTGCCCAGAGCCCCTCCTGTGGGAGTCCTCTCCCATCTGCCATCTCAGCCTCCTTCGTGCCTCCTGAGCTCATCCCTGGCAGCAGTCACCCCTTCTCCCCTCCAGCCCACCCCCAGGCCCTCTGCTTCATGACTGCCCACCCCTCCAACTGCTGATTTCCTTCCTCACCCAGACCCCTCTCACTTCACTTCCCAAGAGGGGATGAAGCCTAGGAAGGGGGCCAGTGTCCGAGGACCGTGTGGCCGGGGGCGTTGGGGGCCCGGATGGGGACTGTCCCCTCCTGTGCCACCGGCCCCTTCATCCTCTCTACCCCGTCCTCCCAGCCTGCAGTGTGACTATCCACAACCGCTGTAAAGATGCCCTGGCCAACTGTACCAAGGTCAAGCAGAAGGTGAGAAGGCGGGAGGGCGGGGGTTCTGCCCAGACCCTCAACCCCAGGCCCCGTGCCCTGGGCATGGCCGCCCGATGCCCTAGCCATAGTGCCAGCTTTTTCCTGAGGTGCCAGCTGCCCGGCTCTGCCCCAGGCCCATGGGAGCGAGCCATGGGTGACAACTGTGCTTGTGTCTTTTCTGCTGTCTCACAGCAACAGAAAGCCGCTCTGCTGAAGAACAACTCTGCCCTGCAGTCTGTTTCTCTCCGCAGTAAGAGTGAGTAGTGAGGCCTGGGCAGCCCCCCAAGACCTGGGACCCCAGGCTGTTCAGCCTCTACGCTCTGCTGCCCCCCTGAGGTCATTCCTGGGCACAGCGTGGGAAGGGTGGGTTTAGAGGCGCAGGACAGGAGGGTCCAGGGGAGATGGGGGTTGGGGCAGCTGGGCATCTGAATGCGGGCATTGGTTATTTACATTGCATTTTTGGGCGTTTTGGTAGTACCCATCCATTGTCAGTGCAGACAGCTCTGGTGTAGCAGAAAGAAAGCATGGTGCTGAGTGGAGCCTGCATCTCTGCTCGCCATTGCTGGGTCACCCAGGACGGGGGTTTGCAGCCTTCAGAGCTTCTGCTTGCTCATAATTGGTTTCAGCAAGCAGATACGACAAGAAAAAGCTCTTCACTTAGGAGGCTGAGGCAGGAGGATTGCTGTGAGTTTAAGACCAGCCTGAACTACATAGCAGGTCCCTGTGTAAAAAAAAGAGAGAGAGAAAGCTCTTGGTGAGCAGTGCAAGGTCGCAGGCCTTCGGTGGCATCATTGCTGTCCTTCAGCTAGGGCCTTAGGGTGGTGGGTGAGGATGCCCTGCTTCCAGGCGAGGACCAGGGAGCTGGAGTCCTGGGAAGGCGCTAGAGTTTGATGTTCGCCCGCTCGGCTTCTTGCCCTCGATAGCAACCATCCGAGAGCGACCCAGCTCCGCCATCTACCCCTCCGACAGCTTTCGACAGTCTCTCCTGGGCTCCCGCCGCGGCCGCTCCTCCTTGTCCTTGGCCAAGAGTGTTTCCACCACCAACATTGCTGGGTGAGCCTCTCTGGGAAGGGGAGGCAGGCGGTGGAGAGCGTGGAGGCCAGGGGGCTGAGTGGCCCTTCACGTCCTGGAGCTCAGAACTGTAGATGGGGAGGAAGGAGAATGCGGCGCCTGCCGGTGGTTCCCTGCCTGGGTCGCCCGGCCCGGCTGGGGTGATGCGGACTGCCTCTGCTTCCTGCAGACATTTCAACGATGAGTCCCCGCTGGGGCTGCGCCGGATCCTGTCACAGTCCACAGACTCCCTCAACATGCGGAACCGAACCCACTCTGTGGAATCGCTTATTGACGAAGGTGAGTGTGCCGGGCCTCGGGGAGACGGGAAGATGAGAGGGCTGGGCAGGAGCGGCTGGCGGGGCTCCCAGGAAGGCCCCGAGAAGAGTCGGGCCTGAGTTGCTGCCTCCCTGTGTCAGGTGCAGAGGTGATCTACAGTGAGCTGATGAGCGACTTTGAGATGGACGAGAAGGACTTCGCGGCCGACTCCTGGAGCCTTGCTGTGGATAGCAGCTTTCTACAGCAGCACAAGAAGGAGGTGATGAAGCAGCAGGATGTCATCTACGGTGAGCTGAGTTCGCCCTGGTCGTCCTCTTCTTCACCTGTTGACCTGTGTCCTTCTCTCTGCCGGCCTCTGCCTCCCGAGGCCCTTTCCTCCTAGCCCGTGGGCCCCACAGCCCTGCTTGGCCTTAGCTTGTCCCCTGTGCCCCCACATTGTGGTGACATTGATCTCCAAGGCCCCATCTTCATCCCTTTTCCACTCAGTCCTCTGTCCTTACTTTGCCTCTTTCATGCCCAACTCTGTCCTGGGGCCTGTGGGAAACCCAGACGTGTGGAAGACACATGAGTCTTGCCCTAAAGGAGTTTATGGCTTGAGACGACAAGGCATAAAGATGAAAAACAAAAAACTAGAGAATCACCACAATGCAGATTTTAACCCAAAAGGGACGGGCTTAGAGCCTCGTGAACGGTGGCCAAGCCAGAGAAGGAGGCCAGATGTCCAATTGTCCCCATAGAGCTAATCCAGACGGAGCTGCACCATGTGAGGACGCTGAAGATCATGACGCGCCTCTTCCGTACGGGCATGCTGGAGGAGCTGCAGCTGGAGCCAGGGGTGGTGCAGGGCCTGTTCCCCTGTGTGGATGAACTCAGTGACATCCACACACGCTTCCTCAGCCAGCTGTTGGAACGCAGGCGCCACGCCCTGTGCCCTGGCAGCACCCGGAACTTTGTCATCCACCGCTTGGGTGACCTGCTCATCAGCCAGGTGGGAAAGGCGGGAGCCCTGGGTCATGTGCCTGCAGTGAGCTGGGCCTGACTGACCAGACCCCGGGGGCTTGGCGGGGGCAGGGCGAGCGGGAGAGGCAGGAAGCCAGCCTGTCTGGCAGGAGGCCAGAGGTGCGTCCAGGGATGAGTACGGCTTAGGGGGAAGCTGACCTCGCCTCACTCCCTGACTTCAGTTCTCAGGTCCTAGTGCCGAGCACATGCGGAAGACTTACTCGGAGTTCTGCAGCCGCCACACGAAGGCCTTGAAGCTCTATAAGGAGCTGTATGCCCGGGACAAACGATTCCAACAGTTCATCCGGGTGAGCCTACCTCCTGGGATCTATACTCAGAGGCTCCTCTCACGGCCCACACCCTGTAGCACCCCGCTGATGGTGGGGTATGTACACCTGTGATCCCAGAGGCAGGAGGGTGCAAGTTCAGCTCCAGCCTGGGCAACTGAGCAACTTAACCTGTCTAAAAATAAAAAAGCAGCCAAGTGTGATGATGCACAAATGTAATCCCAGCACTCTGGGAACCAGAGGCAGGAGGATCAAAAGTTCGGGCTCAGCCTGGGCAATTTATCATCTTAGCAAAACATTGTCTCAAAACTGAACGATGCACACCTGTAATCCCAGCACACTGGAGGCTGAGGCAAGAGGATTGGTGCAAGATTGAGGCCAGCCTGGGCCACATACATAGTGAGTTCAAGCCCAGCCCGAACTGCATAGCCAGATCCTGTCTCAACCTGAAATAAAATAAAGAGGGCTGGAGAAGGCCTCAGGGTCAGTCCCCAATACCACACACAACACACAAGAGGGCAGACACCCTGTCATCCACCCGTGGATCCCATAGCCACAGCTCAGAGTGGCAGAGCACACTGATGGCTTCCCCTGTTTCTCACAATTGTGTCTGGTCGGTCGGTCTTCACTGTGACCCGTGGTGGTGGTGCCCCTTCCTGGATGTGGCTACGTAGGCCAGCATGAGGTGAAGAGCCAAAGCTGGGCCAGCCCCAGGCCTTCCAGCTGCCCTGAGCGCTGCCTCTTCCCGCGTAGAAAGTGACCCGCTCAGCTGTGCTGAAGCGGCACGGGGTCCAGGAGTGTATCCTGCTGGTGACCCAGCGAATCACCAAGTACCCAGTGCTCATCAGCCGGATCCTGCAGCATTCCCACGGTGAGCAGGGGGCCCGGGAGGAAGGGGAGGCTCAGGGCTACCTGGGCTTGGGGGAGGGGAAGGAGTCGGTGTGGAACTCTGCGCAGCCTCTCAAGGTGAGATCAAGACGCACTGGGAATTGGGGCTGGAAAGAAGCTGGCAGAGCTGTCCCCATGCTGACCCTCTGGTGCCAGGGATGGAGGAGGAGCAGCAGGACCTGACAGCAGCCCTGGGGCTGGTGAAGGAGCTGCTGTCCAACGTGGACCAGGATGTGCATGAGCTGGAGAAAGGGGCCCGCCTGCAGGAGATCTACAACCGCATGGACCCTCGGGCCCAGGCACCGGTGCCTGGCAAGGGCCCCTTTGGCCGAGAGGAGCTTTTGCGGCGCAAGCTCATCCATGATGGCTGCTTGCTCTGGAAGACAGCGACGGGGCGCTTCAAAGGTCAGTGGTCTGCTCGGAAGAGCGGGCAGTAGTCCTGAGCCAGCAGTGGGTGGTGCATCCAGCCTTAGACCTCTCCACAGCCCTCCACCAAGGGCGAGACTTGGGAGGGCCAGAGCAAAGTGTCTGAAGCAGTGGCCGTGCAGATGCTGCACTTTCCACCCTGGGCGGATGGGACCTCCTCAGCGTGCACTCATCTCTCTGGCCCTTGCATGGCCAGAGAGCCACCAGTTTTAATGAAAATACAGAAGCTTTCAGGCTAGAGGAGGGCAGGGTGGCTGATTTTTCCCAGCTGGGATCCCGGCCACCAGGGCTGGGGGGATAGGCCCAGAGGGACAGGCAGGATGGAGGAGCCATGTTGGGGTCCACCAGTGGCCTCCCAGGACTTGTCTGCACTTGGCAGTCTTTTCTGTCTGAATCAGGGCAAGAAAATAGCAGGCCTTGCCTTGGGAGTGAGGATCAGGGGACAGAATAACCCATGGTACCTGTGGCCAGAGCCTTCCTGAGCCTCTGCTCCCATGTGCTGAAACCCTCACTGCCAAGGCCTGGATATTGTCAGTCTTCACCAGTCTCTTCTCCATCCCTTTCTCTCCTTCCCATCCCTCCCACGCAGCAGCTAAGAATATAAAGCCTGGGGGGTTAAAAATAGCAGGGCTGGAGAGCTCTATTTCTGCAGTATTTGCAAAAGCCCTCCTCTTCTGCGTGCCCACAGCTCAGTGAGATCCCCAAGGGCAAAGGGTGAGTGGGCATTTTCTTGAATGAAACATCCAAGTTTTATAGAATGGACCTTTGCTTCCTCCGTCAGTAGTAGGGTTCAGGACCCTGAGGACCTGAGAGCCTGGAGGGCGGGAGAGAGAAGGAAGTGAGACAGGGCCTGCCAGGGTGGACGGGGATAGGACTGACTAGTCAAAGATGGATGGGTGAGGGCCCGTCCGTCCTTCGTTAGTGAAAGGAAAGTAACTTTTCTCCATTCCTCCCAAGTGTAGCGAGAGGTGAGAATATCCTCAGGTCAGATGCCTGAAAAGGTCGTACATTAGTTAGGTGTCAGATGTGGAACTTAAAGAAAATCCTAATGACTCAAAAAAATCCTGACCCTACGTAGGTTTGGTGGTGCAGTGTGTAGTCTCAGCTACGGAGGATGCTGAGGCAGCAGGATCACAAGTCTAAAGCCTGGGCTACAGAGCAAGACCTTGTCTCAAAAGAAAAAAAAAATTGATTGTGATTGGATACAGAGTTTTCTCCAAAGGCATTGAGTGAACCTGGATGGCCTCGACTAGCCCATGGAGCTGTTTTGTCTGAGAGCTCACGAATCTGTGTTTGCTTCTCCATGCTTGCGCTGTGAAGGGGGGGTGGGCTCGGTGTGGTGTTCATATCTGTGATCACAGCACTTCAGGAGGCTGTAGCAGGATTGTAAGTTCCAAGCCAGTCTGAGCAATTTAGTGAGACCCTATCTGAAAAGGACGTTAGGGATGTGGCTCAGCATAGAGCACTTGCCTAGCCTTCATGAAGTCCTGGGATGGATTGTTGGATCTTCAGTAACACGCACACCCACAAAGAATGAGGAGGTGGGAGGTCTAACATCTAAAGTGCTGGAGGAAGCATCCAGAGGGAAGAGAGGAGGCTGGGGTGGAGGGATGGGAAGCTTTATCTGATGGAGCAGGCCTGGTCCGGGGGGGAGTGAACAGCTGCTCTGGCCCCCGGTGCTGACTGTGCTCTTGTCCCAACATCCCCGGCAGATGTGCTGATGCTGCTGATGACAGATGTGCTGGTGCTTCTCCAGGAGAAGGACCAGAAGTACATCTTCCCTGCCCTGGTGAGACCTTTATTGCCCTTTCTTAGCACAGATGCGGGCTTCCGGGTCCTTTCTGGTTGGTCTGTGTGGGATGTCTTCTTCAATCCTTCAGGCCCAAGCCATTAAGGGTCAGGATGCCAGGCTCAATCCGTCCTCTCCCCTGCCTGGTAGGACAAGCCATCAGTGGTGTCGCTGCAGAATCTGATTGTACGGGACATTGCCAACCAGGAGAAAGGGATGTTTCTGATCAGCGCTGCCCCACCCGAGATGTATGAGGTACACACAGCGTCACGGGATGACCGGAGCACCTGGATCCGCGCCATTCAGCAGAGCGTTCGCGTGTGAGTGTGCCCGCGGCTGGGAGTGCGTGGCCTTGGGTACCTGTGGCAGGGATACCAGACCCAGTTCTCCCTACATTCAGAGTCTAGGGAGAGGCAAGATGGTCAAGGCAGGAAAGGCAGCCTGTGCTCTTCTATCTTACAAAGTCATGTTTTATGTGCAGTAGCCCCAGCTGCCTTCAAACGCAGCAACAGGGGACAGGCAGGGAGCACTGAGAAGCCGTATCAGCTGCCCATCTGCCGGCCAGCAGGCCACTTCCCGCAGTATTCACATCCTGGTCTGTGGGCAGAGGGCCATCCTTTGGATCGCGTTGCATTTAACCTTTATTTTCTAAAAAAGAATGAAAAGGATAGTGAAGAGGCTGGGGATTTAGCCCAGTGGCCCAGCCACCTGCCTTGCAAGTGCAAGGTCTGAAGTTTGATCCCCAGTACCAGAAAAACCCCAAAAAGGATAGTGAAACTGTGGACACTACAGGGATGGTGAACAGATCTCATCTACAACTCAGTGTGATAGAGGCAGGAAGGAAAGTGGTTAGCGTCCTGCCACAGGCAGCCAGCTGCGTATCTAACATGGTGGGGAGAAAAGTCAGTAAAGCACAGGCAAAATGTTGAAAATGGTTGGTTTTGGCTTTTTTCTTTTAATTTTTTTTTTTTTTTCTTTTGGTACCGGGGATTGAACTCAGGACCTTTCGCTTGTGAGGCAGGCGTGGTGCCACTGAGCTAGATCCCCAGCCTCTTTATTAATTTTTTCAGTTCTGGGGATCAAACCTAGGACCTCTCACATGCTGGGAAAATAATGTTTTCTTTTGGCAGGGGGATTGAGACAGGGTTTGGATATGTAATTCACACTGGCCTTGAACTCACTATGTAGCCCAGGGTGGCCTTGAACGTGTGGTGATCTTCCTGCCTCAGCCTCCCAAGTGCTGGAATTACAGCTGTGTGCCACCATGCCTGGCTTGCTGGGCAAATAAGACAATGACTTCTGAAAGATTATGGCTGAAGAGTGAACTCTTAAAGAACAACAACAAAAAAACTGTAGGATTTTTTTTTTTTTTTGGTACTGGGGATCAAACTCGGGTCCTTGCGCTTACGCAGCAGCTGGTGAAACCACTGAGCTAAATCCCCGGCCCTGTAGGATTTTTTTTAAGTGCTAGGGATCATCAAATCTAAGGCCTGGTGCATGTGAGGCTCCGGGCTGTACCTCAGCCCAGGGGTTTTGTTTTTTGTTTTTGGGGGGTTTTTTTGGTACCGGGGATCAAACTCAGGACCTTGCGCTTGCGACGCAAGCATTGGAACCACTGAGCTAAATCCTCAGCCCAAGCCCAGGGTTTTATATCTGTAATCTGGGGAGTTCACAGTGGTAGACACAGTATCAGCACTAGCACCCGGTAAAGGAGGTCAGTGGTGTAGGAAGCCGGGGCCCAGGGCTGAAAAGTCCCCCAGAAGAGGGGAGCTAGGACCTCCGTTCAGGGAGAGGCTGCTTCCTGGCGTGTAATATGCACCTGTCGCCATCCAACCTGCCCTGTGGCCCCTGCAGGTGCCCGTCCCGGGAGGACTTCCCCCTGATCGAGACGGAAGATGAGGCTTACCTGCGGCGCATCAAGAGTAAGTCCGCCAGCTGCTCAGTGCTGTGCACGTTCACGCAGTGCAGCCTGTGCAGAGCAGATGGGTCCGGGGCACTGATGGCCCATGTGGGCCAAAACGGGGCGCAAAAAAGCAAGATTTAAAACAAAGTCAAGTATATGCTGCAATTTGTGTAAAAGTAATACAGGCAAGTGTATGTGCACATGTGTCATTTTTCTGTGTGAGTAACATCTCTGCTGCAGCTGCCTCTGGGAAGGGGAGCCAGGAGGACTGGGTTTGGGCAGAAAATTTAAGCTGTAGAGCTATTTATGAGCTGGGTCTAAGTGACCTGATTGCTATTTGAGGATAAGTTGCTTTTAAAAAATCAATTATTCCTCTCCACTCAAGAGTCCAAACTGGGAAGTTCAGGGTAGTGGTGCAGTTCTGCCATCTTCAACAGCATGTCCAAACTACCGGGCATGATGGCGCACACCTTTAATTCCAGCACTCGAGAGGCTGAGGCAGGAGGATCACCGAGAGTTTGAGGCCAGCCTGAGCTGCACAGTGAGACTTTGTCTCAAACACCTCCCACCCCTCACAAAAAAAGTGACTACTCCATCTCCACTATCACATCTGCCTCCCAGCTAGCAGGAAGGAGAAAGGAATACAGTTTATACACATTTTTTTTTCTTTTTTAATATATGCAAGCACTCTTTTTTTTTTTTTTTTTTGGTACTGGGGATCGAACTCGTGTCCTTGTGCTTGTGCAGCAGGTGGCGAAACCACTGAGCTAAATCCCCAGCCCAGTACTCTTTTTTAAAAAAATTTTTTCAGAAGAGATTGAATCCTGAGCTTGGGATTTAGCTCAGTGGCATCATGCCTGCTTTGCAAGTGCAAGGTCCTGAGTTCGATCCCTGGTACCAAAAAAAAGGAAGAGATTGAATCCTGGGAACACTGAGCTACATCCCTGGCCCCCAGCCCTTTTTATTTATGTTTTATTTGGAGACAAGGTCTCTAAGTTGCCTGGGCTGGGCTCAGACTTACTCCTTCTGCCTCGGCTTCCTGAGTGCTAGGGTTTCAGGTTTGCACAATATAGGGGAAATCTGGAAGGTGCCTACGTCCAGAGACCAGAGTTTAGTTTCACGGCGATGCCTAACTGCAAGCTGGGCTGGGAAACTGTCCAAAACCAGGAGCCCAGTGCCAGGTGAAACTCAAAGGAGAATGGGAAGGCTGGTGTAGATAACCTACAGCTTTGTCACAGATCTTTTTTGTTTATAAAAACAAAAGTAAGGGGCCGGGGATTTAGCTCAGTGGTTCCACTGCCTGCCTCAAAAGCACAAGGACCAGAGTTCGATCCCCAGTACCAAAAAAAAATAGAAAGTAAATGTTATTTTTTACATCCCCCCCCCCCCCGCAAAAAAAGTTTTTTCTCTTTTGTAAACGAAGTCCTGGCCCTGGCCGGCCCCATCTGCCCTCCCTGCTCACCTCTTGCTTCCCACAGTGGAGCTGCAGCAGAAGGACCGGGCGCTGGTGGAGCTGCTGCAGGAGAAGGTTGGGCTGTTTGCAGAGATGACCCACTTCCAGGCGGAGGAGGATGGCATCAGTGGGGTGCCCCTGCCCACCCTGCCCAGGGGCCTTTTCCGCTCCGAGTCCCTCGAGTCCCCCCGTGGCGAGCGGCTGCTGCAGGATGCCATCCGTGAGGGTGAGGGCGTCCCCACAGGAGGCATCACAGCTTACAGACACACGGCGAGGCCTGGGCACGCGCGCACACACACACACACACCCGGCCCGCAGTCTGTCAATGCCCCAGTGCCTGTCCTGTGCCCACACCTGGGAATCCAGGGCAGGAGGGGCGCAGTCCTTGGCTTTGCTTGGCCTCTCACTGCATTCCTGTCCCCCGTGGGCATCCTTAATAACCTTGGTCTCCTGTGCAGTGGGCGAGTGAATCCCCCTTCCCCAGACGCCTGCATGGCCCGTGCGTGTTGCACGCTCCACACACCTGTCCTCACTTCCTCTCTTTTCCTCAGTGGAGGGCTTGAAAGACCTGCTGGTGGGGCCTGGCGTGGAGCTGCTCTTGACGTCCCGGGAGCCAGCCCAGCCCTTGGAACTGGACAGCAGTGGGAACACAAGTCCTGGGGTCACTGCCAGTGAGTGTGGGGAGGGGACCAGAGAGGGGGCATGGGCTGGGTTAGCGGAGTGGGGTCAGCTCGTCCTTTCCCCTTTCCAACAGACGGCGAGGCCAGAACCTTCAACGGCTCCATCGAGCTCTGTAGAGCTGACTCGGACTCCAGTCAGAAGGTGGGTTCTCCAGAGCTTCTGGGACTTAGCTGGAGGGTGGGCAGACAGTAGGTTGGTCAGTCCTGCCTGCTGACCCCCGTCCTTGCCCATTTCTGCAGGATCGGAATGGAAATCAGCTGAGGTCTCCCCAAGAGGTGAGGTAGAGCTTGGTGGCATGAGAGATGGGGGGTGGTGTGTTCTCATCTGAGCAGCTGCAGGCCGGGGTGTCAAGGTGTGGGTGAGCAGCTCTGCGCACGCTGTCCTCACACCTGTAGCTGCTCAGCTTCGGTGTCCCCCCTTCTCTGTCCTCAGGAGGTGTTACAGCGGCTGGTCAACCTCTACGGATTGCTGCACGGGCTGCAGGTCAGCAGGCAGGGCTGCAGCAGGGAACACGAGGCCCAGATGCCTGTGTAGGCAGGCATAGCCTCCCACAGGCCAGCAGCTTGTCCTTGTTTCCTTCGCTCTCCAGGAGCACTGGCCAGCCGTGGGCACTGAGGGTGGGAGAAGGAAATGGGCTTCTCATGCTCCCTTGCCCTGTTCCACCCCAGGCGGCTGTGGCCCAGCAGGACACTTTGATGGAAGCCCGGTTCCCTGAAGGCCCTGAGCGGCGGGAGAAGCTGTCCCGAGCTAACTCTCGGGACGGGGAAGCTGGCAGGGCAGGAGCTGCCCCTGCAGCTCCTGAAAAGCAGGCCACAGAGCTGGCGCTGCTGCAGCGACAACACGCACTGCTGCAGGAGGAGCTGCGGCGCTGCAGGCGGCTGGGTGAGGAGCGGGCGACGGAGGCCGGCAGCCTGGAGGCCCGCCTGCGAGAGAGCGAGCATGCCCGGGCCCTGCTGGAGCGGGAGGCCGAAGAGGCACGCAGGCAGCTCGCCGCCCTGGCCCTGGGCCATGCTGAGCCGCTCCCAGCTGAGGCGCCCTGGGCTCGCAGGCCTCTGGACCCTCGGCGCCGCAGCCTCCCAGCCGGCGATGCCCTGTACCTGAGCTTCACGCCCCCGCAGGTGAGCAACCTGGAGTGGAGGACTGGCTGAGGCAGGCACGGGCCCACAGGACCTGAAGGACAGTGAGCTGGTGGGATTGGGGCCCAAGTCAGTCAGGCAGCAGCCTTGGCAGCCAGGCGTGGGAGCTCACTCCTGCGATCTCAGCACGCTGGGCGCATCACAGGTTCAAGGCCAGGCTGGGTGGCGTAGGGAGCCCCTGCCTTGCAGTGAGCGATAAGAAGGGCTGGCAAGGCAGCTCAGTGCCAAGGCCCTGGGCTCCATCCCGGTACCACATACACAGGCACATTTGGAGGAGTGCAGGGCTGAGTGTTGACAGGAAGTCACCTGGGTGTCACACGGACCAGATCAGGTGGTGGTGCTGCCGGGGAGCACAGTGGGGAGAGCACAGGTCCCAGCTAAGCAGAATCCGCAGCCTGCACACTGCTCAGTGCTGCCGCTGTGCACAGCCTGGCCGAGGCCATGACCGCCTGGATCTGCCGGGGACAAATCGCTCTGCGCACCGACCCTGTGAGGACCGGGAGAGGCAGGAGCTGGGCAGCCCTGAGGAGCGGCTACAGGACAACAGCGATCCTGACACAGGCAGTGAGGAGGAAGGGAGCAGTCGTCTGTCTCCACCCCACAGTCCACGAGGTAAGGCCCTGGCGGCGTGGAGCGCAGAACAGTGGTGGGCTGCAGCCTGGGTGTGAGGCTGTGGGCCAAGGTGGCCCCAGGGCCCTGAACAGCCATTCTTGGGGGAGGCAGGACCCCCCGTTCTGTGCTGCTGAGTCACGGTGGAACTCTAGGCAGTGCTGTCATGGGGGCTCTCCTCCAAGTGGTTGGTGGCTCCCAACCCTGTTTTTTGTTTTTGAGACAGGGTCTCACTATGTAGTTGAGGATGGCCTTGAATTCATGGCGATTCTCCTGCCTCAGCCTCCCACGTGCAGGGATGATAGGCCTGTGGTCACCATGCCCAGCACCTTATCCAGGGTAGGCAAGTGCTGTACCACTGAGCTAACCCCTAAACTTTTCAAGCTGAAATAAATTTTTTTTTTTTTTGTACCGGGGATCAATCTCAGGACCTTGTGCTTGCGAGGCAGGCTGCGGAACCACTGAGCTAAATCCCTGGCCCTGAAATAAAATTTTTAAAGTAAATTAATGTAAGACCTCTAATAGTGGGTTCAGGAAATGCAAAATAACCAAAAAGCTACAGTGAGTCCATGTTAGAATCTTAACTGTCCTGTATGTGACTGATCCCCGTGTATCTCAGTATTTCCAAAGTGTACCAAGGACTTATGTGGGGGCACTGCTGACTCTGTGGACTGAGGTTTCCTCTCTCCCCAGGAGTCATTCAGCCTGCAGACGGGGAGGTGTCAGTGTAGGGGTGCAGGTGCCTGAGGGAGGCACTAACGCACTGGCTTCCCTGCCCCCCTCAGACTTCACCCGAATGCAGGACATCCCTGAGGAGACCGAGAGCCGCGACGGGGAGCTGCTGGCTTCCGAGAGCTAAGGGGCCCTTGCCCCTGCTGTGCCCCAGTGAAGAACGTCACTGCTGGGGCAAATGTCGGGGACTGCAAGCTGCCAGTGACAAGGGGACATTCGAAAGAACTGCTGATTGTCCTTGTCAGCTCTTGGGATCCTTGGATACCTGGGGCCATTTAGGAACCTGGGGGATTTAAGTCACAATCCCCCTGGTGGCATCCAAAAGCTACACCACAGATGCCAATTTGTCATGCCTTCTTCCCTCTACTTTAGGAAAATTTATTTATTTATTGTTTATTAGTTGTGGGGGAGAAGGAAGATTTAAAGGACCAGGGACATGGGAACCAAGCCATAGGGATCAGGGGCCTTGTCCTTTCTCACTACTGGGGTACGTTCAGGCCTCTCCAGCAGCCGCTGGGTTCTACTCCTGACTGTCCCCAGCAGCACCCACCTCTGACAGACTGCAGCCACAGGACACTCCTGCCCCTGTGCGGAGGGCTGTGGGCAGCCGTGTCCTTCTCCCCACGCCCCTCACCCTCTTCTTGCTGGGCCCCTTCTCTGCATCCACCAGGAACCCCGGGGAGATGACCTGCTCCCAGGTGGATGGAGTGGAGATCAGGGTGGCTACAATGGTTTGTTGAGGGTGAGGGAAAAATCCCACAGGGACCAGAATGTTTTGTTGTTTTCTTTTCTTTTTTGTACCAAAGCCAGCTGCACGTGTTTTATATTTTTAAGAGAAGACATAGGCAATTAGAGATCACACTCTTCTATCTCCACATCTCAATGTCAGGGCTGGGGGAAGACTGATTTCTCCCACCGCCTGCATTCATAGGGCTCCTATTCCGAAAGTTCTAGGGTGGGTTGGGAAATCTCTACGAACCCTAGCCTCACTGCCCACCTCAGCGACCATGACTTGAAACCTCATTGTGAATTCGGGGGATTTTTCAATGGACAGCACCCACCAACTCCAGCCATTTTTCTGCCAATTTGATTGTTTTAAAAAAACAAAACAAAACAACAAAAAAAAAAAAAAAAAGAAGAAGAAAAAGAAAAACCAAGCAGGGAAAATTAAAGACCTGAAACCCTATGAGGTGGTGTCTTGTAATGTCTGCCACTTTCCAGGGCGATGGTGACAGAGCCGGGCAGCAACCTCAGTTCCTCTTGCTCCGTAGGCCTGTCTGCCTCAGTGAAGAGCCATGGCACTAGGAAAGGAAACCACTGTGAATCTTGTACTAAAAATTCACAAATGGGCTGGAGATTGAGGTCAGTGGTTCTGGCACCTGCTGTGCAAGCGGCAAGGTCCCGAGTTCAACCCCTAGTACCAAAAAAAAAAAAAATTTACAAACAAGGACCAAATGAAGTGGCACTCTGCTCCAGTGGCTGTTCGAAACTCCAGTCCAGAAAACTTGTCATCTTATTTGTATACTGTGCTCAGCAGTCGCATCTCCCCAGGGTCCCTGTGGTGCACTTCCTGTTACCATCTCCTCTGGTCACTTCTTTTCAGATCAGCTCCCACCTGCCCTGGTGCGGCCCAGCGTCAGAGCCTGGGGTGACCCCTCTGAGAGCTGCTCATTTGCTCTTTGCCTCTGCAAGAGAGCTGATTTCAGTTCTGCGGGCGGGGCGGGGGGGCGGGTTGGGATTCTTTCACTTCTCCTTTCTGATCAAGAACCCCGTGCTTGCCTGGGGACGGAGGTCAGGAGTGTCTCAGGCTGTGTCTGGGAGCCTTAGAGAAGGAAGGGGCTCACGACCCCTGCTAAAAAGAGGAATTGAAATTGCAGAAGGAGCAGCCAGCACCTTCCCTTGCGGGGGCATGGGGCCCTCACCTTTCATGGGAATCTCGAGTGGGAGGGATTGTTCTCGTTATACCTGTGGGTGCAAAAGGCTTGCTGGGCTAGGGTAGGCGAGCCAGGAAGAGTCGGGGCCCCATCTGCCTGAAAGCACCCGAGCTTCACGTTTCAGTCACACCACACAGGGCTCAGCGGCTCCTCTCCACGTTGGCCAGCAAAGACCCACCTGCAAGGTAGAGGCCTGGTAGGAATGGGGGGTGCTAGCCCCAAAGACCACCAAGAGAAGGGCGTGTGGGTTCCTCCTCAATCCCTCGGGTCCAGGATCCAGATGGGAAACCTGGGGGCGGATCCCAGAGGGTGTGAACAAGCCCACATCTCCCCAGCGAGCAGCGCTGCTTTGGTTCTTTGCCCCTTCGCCGAACCCTTCCTGTCTTCAGACCCCAAGATGGCGCCAAAGGGTCTCCTGTGTGCCGCCTCCTGGCAGCCAGGCCCTCCCTCTGCCTTTGGGCGTTCTGTCCCTGTTCCCTCCCTAATCCTGCTTGAGAACTCAGTCTTAGCCTGTGTCTCTGCGGCAGGTTCAAAGCTCCATGGCTTTGTGCTCAAGGGAGCCAGGGCCCAGCTTGCACCAGAACCTCTTTCCGCCCCTGGGGCCCCAAGCCCTGCGCCCTTCCACGCTCGCTCCCCCTCTGGAGGCAGGTCTACGCCAGTCACTCATCTCCAACTCGGACCTGTGTACTTCCTGTCAATATTTACCTCCGGGTCCCATAAAGCGGAGATGCCCCCAGAGGAGCCAATATCCGGAGCCAGCCAGGAGCTGCTGGAGGTGGGGGAGGATTTTCCACCTTCCTCAATTGCTGGGAACAGACCTGGAGTTTTAGAACCAGTTTAAACATTATCAAAAGGAGGAAATTAAATACCTAAGGCTAATTAACTCTTTCCCATTGCCTAATGCGTCGTGAATTGGGTGGCTCTTCAGAACCTCTTCTCAGCGACCCAATTAACTAGCGGGGGCACCCGGAGGCACCGTGGCCTCCTTTCCAGAGGGGGCGCTGTAGCTCTTGGGGTTTGCGGGCCCAGTGTCATCCTGGGTTACCAGATGGCCAGAGCTGGGGGGAGTGGAAGTGGGAGCTCCAAGCATTTCCCCTCCCTCTCCCCTTTTCTCGCTCCCTTCCTTCCCTAACCCTGTTATGGCCCTGCCCTGGAGGTTAAACCCAGATCCTCCACACTGAGTTATAGCCCCACATTTAATTATTTTAAGACAGGATGTTGCTAAATTGCCCAGGCTAGGTTCAAACTGTAATTCTCCTGCTTCAACCTCCCAGACTGCTGGAATTACAGGTGAACACCACCATGCCTGGCTGAAAGTCCCTTCCAGCGACTTATCACGGATAGGTTACAATGATCGTGGGAATTAAAGGGGAGCCTCCTGCCCCGGAGATACACCTCCAGAGGTGCTGAGGGAGGGACACCCCTGCAGCTCACGGTAAGACTTGCAGTATTCTGCAGAGAAAGTGAAGTCATTCCGAAGGAGAACTTCCAGCTCCCCACGCCCCGAGCCTCCCAGCTGCCCCCTTACTTCCTCCTCCATTTTACATGGAGTGTGAGAACAGTATGAAAATGCTTCAGGTATTGTCGAATGCCAAACAGCCCATTTTAGAGAAGAGACAACTACAGCATAGAGAGATAAAGTCATCTGCCCAAGGTTCCAGGTGCAGACCAGGTGCTCCGACGCCGAGGTGATGCTGTGCTCAGAGCTAAGCATTTTCTGCAGGGAGGGGGACTAGCACCACCGCTGTGGCCAACTTCAGCTTCCCCCCAAGCCCTTTGTGCATCTCTCACCTCCCTCCTCCCCACCCACCTCTTCTACTTGCCATTATCTTGTCATTATCTCCCTTTAATTCCTCGTATAAAGAGAAACACAGGTTCTTCTAATCAGTGCCAGGTGTGATAGACTGGTCCGGCAGGTCCCGGGGATGCCAGCAAGACCCCACCCCAGGCCCTGTAGCAGGGTAGGTACACCCTTTGAGACGGAGGCCTCTGCTGGCATCAGGCACCTGGCCAGGGAAGCGGGCAGTTTGGGTCTTGGTACTAGACAAGGAGAAGGGACCTGTTTTGAGGTGAGGGTGGGGGACACACAAAGAGAAATGGCCATGGACCTCTAGTCTGTTAGCCTTGACCCCCTAAGGGAGATACCTTGGAAATTCTTGCAGAAGGCAAAGATGGGGTAAAAACTGCCCCACACTAAACTAGAGTTGGAACTGGGATAAAAGATCGAGAAAAAGGGCTGGCTGTGCTGGCACACACCTGTATCCCCAGCACTCTGGGAGGCCGAGGCAGGAGGATTGCACGTTCCAGCCCAGCCTGGGCAACGGAGCAACTTAGTGAGACCCTGTCTCAAAAATTTCAAAATAAATGAAACAATTAAAAAACCAAGACAATTTGTGGGTAATCCAGATGTTTATTCTCAGTTCCTCTTCTTTTTCACCTCCAAATAGAGACTTAAGCTTTGTCACACCCAGCCCCGACCTGGGCCCTGGCCTCCCCAATTCCCCGCACCCAGAGTTGGTGGTCAGAGAGCAGAGTTGCCGTGGGACTCCATGGCCTGGCTGGGAGGACAGCTGTCCCTAGGGTGTGTGGATCCTGTGTCCGGCAGGTCCTAGAAAGAGAGAGCAGGCCCTCGGCCTTCAGCCAGGTACCCCCTGTGCACTTCTGCAAGCACATGAGCTCTCCGGCGGGGGGGCGGGGGGGGCTCGCTGTTCACGGGCTGCCTACCTCCTTTAGGGCCACCTGCTGCAGCCAGCCCACGCCCTGGGGCCACAGCCTGGACCGCAGGTCCCTGAAGGCGTCCACCAGAGCCTGGCGGGGCTCCCGCCGCAGCAGACAGTACAGCACCGGGTTGAGGCAGCTGTTGCTATGTGCCAGGCAGGTGGTGACAGGGAAGACGTAGGTGTGAATGGTGTAGAAAGTTCTGTTCCAGGGCACCAGGTCCCACTTCACCAGGACACCCCAGAGAGTGACCACGTGGTTGGGGAACCAGCAAAGGAAGAAGGAGGCCACCAGGATACGGACGGAGCGAGCCACCACTCTGCTGTCCTGCCGCCGGCGTTGCCGCCTCCGCAGGAAGGTCACCAGCAGCAGGTAGCTGGTGGTGATTATGGCCAAGGGCAGCACGAAGGCGAGGACCACCCTCTGCAGCTGGTAGGCTCCCTGCCAGTACCTGCTGGGGAAGCGCAGCAGGCAGAGGCGCACGCCCCACACCTCAGCCTCCGCCCCGAAGATGGCCGTGGGCACCGTCATCAGCGCCGCTGCCACCCACACTGCCAAAGTGGCCCCACGGGCCCAGAAGAGCGAGAGGTGGGTGCGCGGCCCCGCAGCCACGGCCACCAGCCGGTACCGGGCAACGCTCAGTGCTGTGATGAGGAAGATGCTGGCGTAGACGTTGAGGACGGTGGCTGTCAGGACTGTCTTGCAGAGGGCACTTCCGAAAGGCCAGTGGAAGTCCAGCGCCGACTCGGCTGCCCAGAAGGGCAAAGTGAGCGCCAGCCCCAGGTCTGCCAGTGCCAGGCTGAAGACAAAGGTGTCAGAGGGCGGGCCAGGGGCTCGCCGGGCACCGAAATTACCCAGCACCCACAGCACAGCCAAGTTCCCCAGCAAGCCGATAGCCCCAACAAGCCCATAGGCCAGGGCCACCAGGACCCTCAGGGCGAAGAATTCCACAGGCAGCGTGGCTTCGTCCGCACTCAGCACCCCTCCTCCAGAGGCGTTGACCCAAAAGAACGTGGGCAGCGCGGCTGAAATATTGGGTGTGGGCATCGCAGGGCAGCAGAGGTTGGTGGTGCTGGGTGGAGGGTCCAGCAGGTGCCTGCCAGACGGGCAGGAGCCACCGCAGGCTCTCGGCAGGAGGCTCTGGGGCCGTGTGCGTCTCTGGGCCCCTGGCTGCACAGCCCGGGTTCACGCCCTCATCTGGAGGGAGGGGTGTGGATGAGGGACCCACCTGTCCCCTCCTGGCTGGGCTGGGCACCATCAGTGGTGGGGGCGGGGCGGGGCCCACACAGCAGGGCTGAGGCAATTCGTGTGTGCGTGCGTGCATGCGTGCGTGTGTGTGTGTGTGTGTGTGTGTGTGTGTGTGTGTTTAAGAAAGGCTCTGGGCAGCAGAAAGGAAGTAGGGGGAGTTATCATCCCACTGCCTGGCAGCCCTAAGCTTCTGCCCCAGGACGAGAGCCTGGTACTGCCTAACTCCCGGATGACCATGGCCCAGCCAGAGCGCCCTACTCGGAGCAGGGTGCAGAACGTGCTCCCTTGGGCCCAGGGTGGGGCTGCGGAACAGAGGCAGGGAGCCAGGACCAGGGTCTGGGCAGTCCTGACAGGGTTGGAGTCCTACACCTGCCGCTCCTGGCCTCGTGCCTTGGGTGAGTCACAGTGCTCCCGTTTCCTTGGCCCAGACCTTCAGGGTTTAGGGGTATGGTGGCATCAGCCACAGTTCCAGCTGCTCCAAAGACTGGGCAATGGTGTCACTTGAGTCTGGGAGTTCAAGGACAGCCTGGGCAGCACAGCAAGACCCAGTCTCAAAGTTTTTTGTCAGGGACTGGAGTGGTAACTCAGTAGTACAGAGAGTGTTTAGCATGTGCTAGGCTCTGGGGTTTGATCCCCAGCCCCAAAATAAAATTAAACTGTGAGAAATTCTGATAAAAGTCTGTTTCAAGGGATTGCTGTGATGAAATAATACATGCGAGACAGCACTTTCTTTCTTTCTTTTTTTTTTTTTTTTTTTTTGGTACCAGGGATTGAACTTTGGACCTTGCGCTTGCGAGGCGGGCACCAGAACCACTGAGCTAAATCCCTGGCCCTAGACAGCACTGTTTAATAAATTGCTCTTAGTACATGTATGCAGTACATAATGATTATATTCATCCTGGGGAGTCGGTACATGTGCATAACGCATCTCCAGACAGCGGTTTCTGTCTTTGCAATGACTTATTTCAAAGAAGTCTGGGGTGTTTGTAGTGGAAGGAAGCAAGACACTGAGCAGCTATCGGCATCATGCCCAGGGAACTGTGCCAACTAAAACACAGGTTGGAATTCATCTCAGCAGCAAATGACCTTGAGGCTGAGAACAGGGAGGGAAAGGAGAGAGCGGAAGTCAGCGCTTCCTGTTCCCTCCCCACTGGGAGCCCTGGCCTGAGATGTCAAGAGTTTGGGCTTGGCCTCAGTTCTGCTCCTGCTCTGGGTTCTTCCTCACTGTGCGCCCTCACCACTCTCACTGCCGCCTCACCTTTCCCACCCTGGTCTGAGGGCCGGGGCTCAGCAGTTTGTCCTCCGGCCCTGAGCCCCATTTCAGAGCTCTGGACCTGCGACATGCCCTGGCCACACCCCGCCCTTTCTCCCTGAGATGTGGATGTGTCCCAGTTGCGACAAGCCTCACTAGCTCTCGAGCTGCGATGCGGAGAAGAGAACTGGGGAGTGGGTGGATAGAAGAGCGAGGCCTTCCTCAGGGATTCCAGTGCTACAGTCGACACCTTGTCCTCTGCTCGGCAAGCAGGTTAATATCCGAGGTTCCGTTCTCTCAGGGTTCTGAAGAAGTTGAGGTTCCTTGGGGACAGTCATCAGTTCTCGGCTTGATGCTGTGTGAGAAACCCACGGGAGAGAGGCGCAGGCCGGTGCCAAGCCGTCGGGGCATCTGAGCCAGGGAGGGGTGCGGAAGGGCAGCAGAGGGGCGCGCCCGCGCAAGCCTCCGGAGGACCACAGGCCCCGCCCAGCCGCGCACACTGCTCCTGCATGGCTCTCTGCCCGTCCGTCTTCCTCTCAGGGCCACGCCTGCCTTCTGCCCACCCAGAGTCACCTGCCAGTCTGGCGGTTAAAACAGCTCCCATGGGTCCTCCCTTGGCTTCAGGAAAAGAAGCTGCAATGCCAGGGTTTTGCTGTCTCTAAGATATCCGGTCCTCCAATCATTTCCTTTTTTTTTTTTTCCTCTCCCAACCTTTATGCATTTCTACCCTAAAGCTTTTCCTTTGGTCTGAGACTATCAACCGCCCCTTGTGCTTATGTACAGAGGTGATGCCACCAGCTGGCCATATCTGGAACCTCCTTTTTCTCGTATGTCATACATTCACTCACTAATCACAGCATTCTTTCTCTAGCCCTTACTATGGGCCAGGCACTGTGCTAGATGCTGGGGAGAGAGATAAAATACGCTTGCCTTCCTCGCAGAAAATAATAGAGACGGAAGGCATCTGTGAGGTCGTCTGATTCGGCTTCTTGAGATGCAGTGAAAATGACTTTTGGAGGTTACCTGCGGAGGATGGCACAGACAGGACTTCGATAGTGGTTTTGACTCCCGGAAAGTGACTCTTCTGTACCTCATAAGCCCCGCAGGTGTTTCTTCCGCCCATCATCCCCTGGCCTTCTTGAGCGTCAGGAGCTCCAGGCCCTGCCCTTGGGGGCTCCAGGCTTTGGAGGGAAATCGAAATGGTTGTCAGGGAGACATTGACAGCCTGTCTGGAGATTTTTTTTTTTTTGGTACAGGGAATTGAAATCAAGACCTTGCACTTGCAAGGCAGGTACAGCGCCACTGAGCTAAATCCCTGACCCGTAGTAGAGATTTATATGTTACATTGTATTATAAATATTACATATATATTTTATATATATATAATTTTATGGCCTTGAGTTAGGCAAAGATTTCTTAGATACAGCATCAGAAGTATAATCCATAAAAGTAAAAGTTAGCTGAGCATCATGGCACAGGCCTGTGATCCTGGCTTTCTGGGAGGCTGAGGCAGGAGAATCACAAGTTCAAACCCAGCCTGGATGACTTAATGAGACCTTGTCTCAGAATTTTAAAAAACAATCTAGGGCGGGGGATTTAGCTCAGTGGTTCCGCTGCCTGCCTTGCAAGCGCAAGGTCTGGAGTTCGATCCCTGGTACCAAAAAAAAAATCTATTGGAATATAAAATCCTTGAAAAAGTGTTCTACTTTGTTTGATCTTAAGAGTCCTTGCATTTTCAAAATATCCCAAATGTTGAAAACCTCTGACTTCCATAGTCAAGGTCCTCAGTATTCAAGACCTTTGATTAGCTGGTCCCCACATTTCACCCAGCCCAGCAGTAAATTCTCACCTCCCAGAACCTGGTGTCTCATAATCTATGCCTAGCTCCACCTTGCCAGGCCTCAGTTGGCTTGTTCAGCTTCCATTTCTCAAATGCCCCACAAAATTGAGTAATTTGTCTTCTTTGATTTTTGGTTATCATACATTTGGCCACGTACTATAAAGAGAGGTAGCAGAAAAGCAAGACCTGCATATTATTCATATTTATATACAGTAATTATATCTTCTGTGTGCCAGGCACACAGAAATGGAAAAAACAAAACCAAACCAGCTTTTTGTTTTTGGTTTTTGGAGACAGGGTCTCCATGTAGTTCATGTAGTCCATGTAGGTCTCTATGTAGTTCAGATTGGCCTTGAACTCGCTATGTAGCCTAGGCTGGCCTTGATCTCACAGCAATCCTCCTGCCTCAGCCTCCCACATGCTGGGATTACAGGCCTATGCCACCATGCCCAGCAAAACCAGAATTCTTCGATTGACCACTGGAACGAAACATTTCCCTTTCCTAAATAGGTAGCTCAAACATGAGGTATGCAAAAGCCACAGGAAGACTTTCTCCCCAGCCCGAAGCTGGGACTCCACACAAATGAAGATGAATTTGGGGAGAAGCCTGTTTATTCCCTGAATCATGCGCATTGTCTTCTACTCGTCCAGCTTCCCACAACAAAGATGAATTCTTCTTGCTTCCCGAGTCCACTTTTAAATTAGACAAAGCAGCAGTTTTCCTTAACGGAAAGGCGCAAACCGGAAAGTCACACTCTACCGGGCCTTGGAAATGCCGAGCGCCTTTAAATCGCCGAGTGTCCAATCGGAATCGGCATTCTCGCCGGAACCGCGCTGCCTCACGACCGGAAGAGGCTGTGCGTCAGGGAGTCGGGGCGGAAGTGACGGCAAGGCGGTAGCGGGGTAGTTGGCGGGTGGTTGAGTGGAGCCGGTCGCCATGTCCGCGGGGAGCGCGACACATCCTGGAGCTGCCGGGTAAAGCTTCGCGGGCGCAGGCTTCGTAGCCAGCGTGAAGGCCCGGGAGAGGCGGAGGGACTGGGGAAGCGGCGGGGCCCTTGTGTGGGAAGTGCTTGCCGGAAGGGCGCGTCTCGAGAAGCAGCGCGCAGGCCTTGGGCCCGAGGAGGGCCGGCAGGATCGGGGCGGAGAGAACGGGCAGTTTACAAGGGCGAGCCAAGGAGAAGGCTAACGCGAGGGCTTGCCACGTCGGGGGCAGGGTTTGGTTACAGGTGAAGGAGAAAGGAAGTGGATGCGGGGAGAGGGTTGGAAGAGCGGGCATCTGCGGAGATGGGCTTGGTTACCGAGAGGTGGACATTTTATACCTGGCAGGCGATGGGCGTGGAACACGACCTGGGAGAAAGGGATGCCAGGGCCAGTAAGGGCAGCATTACATAAATGGGACTTTACGGTCAAAAATTTTCCTTTTCCTATCTGTAGGCGCCGCAGCAAATGGGACCAGCCAGCTCCCGCCCCTCTTCTCTTTCTCCCTCCAGCCGCCGCGGGTGCAGAGGTCACCAGCAGCGGGGGAAGCCCCGGGGCCGCCGCGGCTGCTCCCTCGGGAGCCTTGGATGCCGCTGCCGCCGTGGCTGCCAAGATCAATGCCATGCTCATGGCCAAAGGGAAGCTGAAACCAACCCAGAACGCTGCTGAGAAGGTATTCGAGGAGGCCCAGCTAATTGCAGTTTCGGCAGGCTCTTTGTAATCCAGTAATCTCAGAGTCTTTTGTGTTGAAGGAGCAAACGGGTACAGTAATTTAAAGATCATTTAGTTTTGGAGTATTTCAGGTGGTATTTTGTCATACGTTTTTATGAGGCAGTTTTTACTGGACTCCTCACATTCATGAACCAAATAGCTTATTTTGTCCTTGTGCACTTAGTTGAGTTTCAGGTCTATCCATCTAATCATTGAAAGCACAGTGATGTTTGGATATATGTGGGTTTTTTCCCTGAGATTAAAAACAAAAACATTCAAGGCGTGGTGTCACAGCCCTGTAATCCAAGCACTGTGGGAGGCTGAGGCAGGAGGATTGCAAGTTGGAGCCCAGCCTGGGCAACTAGCCAGACTTTGTCTCCAATTTTAAAAGGAGGCCCTGGGAAGAGTTCAGAGCAAAGGTCCTGGGTTCAATTCCCAGTAATTAAAAAAACGAAAACAAACAAACAAAAAAAACCACTCTGCTAACTCGAGCTTTAAACTGTCACCTTTAATTAGAATATAGGTAGTTAATGACTAAATGGAATTAAACATGAACTAAAATGGTGGTACAATTTATATTTGGCTGATTTTGTTGCTTTCATACAAATAGTGAAGACATTGGTTATTTTAATTTTGGGGGGTACTGGGGATTGAACTTGGGACCTTGTGCTTTCAAGGCAGGCTCCGGAACCACTGAGCTAAATCCCCGGCCCTGACATTGGTTATTTTATAAAAATTGCCTATATAACTAGAACCTTACAATTAGAAGAGGTCTGACTGAAGCCTTTGACCTGGAATGCAAGACTTACTATAACAGTGGTGGCTATTAGTATTGCATGCCTTGTAAATTAAAAAAATTCTTTGCAACAAGGGGGAAAGTTTTTTGTCATAAGGAAAATTAGACTCATAGATATAATTTGTCCAAGGGTGCAATGACTTTAAAGTTACCACATAAGCCTCGCAAGCACGAAG